ATGTTAAACAGCATGGGGGACAGTATCGAGCCCTGAGGAACTCCATGACATAAATGCCATGGGACAGAAGAGCTATCCCCCAGCACAACCCTCTGGACATGGTCAGCTAGGAAGGAGAAGAGCCACCATAAAGTGGTGCCCCCATCTCCCAACCCAGCCAGTCTATCCAGAAGGACACCATGGTTGATGGTGTCGAAAGCCGCTGAGAGGTCCAGGAGTACCAACAGGGTCACACTCCCCCCCGTCTCTCTGCCGGCAAAGGTCATCATACAGGGTGACCAAGGCAATCTCCGTACCAAAACCTGTCCTGAAACCTGATTGAAATGGATCCAGAAAATCCGTTTCATCCAGCAGCGCCTGGAGTTGCCCAGCCACAACCCACTCCAACACTTTGCCCAAGTAAGGGAGGTTCGTTACCGGTAGGTAGTTAACCACAAGCCTTGGATCCAGGTTAGGCTTTTAAAGGAGTGGCCGAATTACCGCCTCTTTCAAGGTGGTAAGGACCATTCTGTCTCGCAAAGAGCTGTTCTTGGCTTCTGGACCCAGGTGCGAACCCTCCTGGCAGATCTTCCAATTAGCCAAGATGGGCAAGAGTTGAGCAGAGTGGTGGTAGAATGGACAGATCCAAGCACCCTGTCCACATCCTCAGGTCTCAACAACTGAAACTCATCCATTAATATTTGACCTAAGCACAGCACACTGGACACATCCTCTGATTCTGCAGTAACGGTGGAGTCCAACCCATTGCGAAACTGAGTGATTTCCCCCTCAAAATGGATGGCAGACTTATTACAGTGAGCTGATGAGCAGTCCAGGACCTCCATCGTATTTCCTGGTTGAAGAAGATCCCTCTCAACAACTGAAACTCATCCATTAATATTTGACCTAAGCACAGCACACTGGACACATCCTCTGATTCTGCAGTAACGGTGGAGTCCAACCCATTGCGAAACTGAGTGATTTCCCCCTCAAAATGGATGGCAGACTTATTACAGTGAGCTGATGAGCAGTCCAGGACCTCCATCGTATTTCCTGGTTGAAGAAGATCCCTGAGCACCTGAAACAGCTCTGCTGGATGACATTCTGAGGAAGCAATACAGCTGGAGAAATATTGCCATTTTGCCAGCCATACTGCCACGAAATAGGCCAAATAATGGGCTCTAAGTTGTGTTCAATTGGACTCCCAGTAGGATTTCCTCTACATGCGCTCCAACTGTCTCCCCTCTCTCTTCATTTCCTGCAGTTCAGAAGTATACCAAGGAGCTGTCTGGGCTCTGCGTGCAGGGAGAGGGTGCTTAGGCGCAATCGTGTCAACTGCCTGGGTCATCTCCCTATTCCATAGGGTGACCTGAGCATCAACAGAAGCGCTGACCATATCAGATGGATAATCTCCCAGAGCATCCAGGAAACCATCCGGATCCATTAGTCTCCAGGGGCGGATCATCTTACTAGATCCCTGACCCTTTCAGAGGGGAGAAGAAGCTAATAGACCTGACCAGGAAGTGGTCTGACCATGACAATGGGGTCACAATCAGCCCCTCCATATCTAAACCACCATCTTCCAGTCCCATTGAGAAAACCCAAGTCCAAGGTATGGCCCTTTTCATGAGTTGGGCCAATAACATATTGAGACAGCCCCATGGTTGTCATGGCAGCCATGAAATCCTGAACCTTCATTTATTACATCATCATTATTACATCAGAACTACTGTTTCAACTCTACATTGACTCCAGGCTATGGAGTCAATGTTTCTAAGTGCTCCGTTAGTATGAGTAGCTTTCAACTTGAACAATAATGTTCCATTTAAGCAGCCACTGTCATTCATTATGAATGATCAAGTTTTCCCATTATGATATTCTTTGGACTGTTTTAGTGCATTTGGCTGTTATCATCAGCTGCTTCCTTTGCTTTTAAAAAGCTAATGTAGAACCTGTATCCATAAAGAACAAATGAGGTATTGAAATGTCTTGGTTTCCTTCTTCATTACATAAGCTGCTTTAAAAATAATAATAATTAAAAAGATCATTCTCAAAAGTGATGTAATTGCATTGTTGCCAAAATGTGACACAGATGGGCTACTGAACAGAGAGGAAATCAGAGACAAAAATACTGAGGCTTGCGTAAATTGATTTCTAGCCTTTCAGATGGGGGAAAAACATAGGAATACAATTGGCAACTTAGAAGTAACTAGTACAACTCACTAGTTAATTGTAAGTAATTCCTTTTCCGAACAACTAGTGCATGACTTTGTTTTTACAACAGATACAGTATAATGACTTGAGAAGCCTATGTGCTGTCATGGACAGAGTGTCAGACTGAGGAGACTTGGACTGAAATCCCCACTTGGCTATGGAAATTGAGGAATGAATGACACTGATAAATTTCTCTTGAACATCTCACATTTCCCACCTATTAGGGTTGCAGTAAGTCAGAAGAACGACAGTGCATAGATTACTTGCACGCTAGGTGTAATGATAAAGGAATCTTCATTTATTGTTCAGTCTAGTGGTAACTGTTGAGCTACGTACTCTTCTAGTCACAGAGATTTGGCTTCACTCTATGGTGTTGCTTCTGGGTGCTGCTTTGTGTCGCTGTCTTGCATTGTGTTGTGGATATTGAAATGGAAACAAAGTCACAAGGGAGATGGTTTTTTTTTCACATTCCAAGCCAGTGGCTTGTAAGAGTCAGAGCTTTTAAAAAAATAATAGGAATATAAATAATTACATTTTAAAAATGTAACTATAGTGGTGAGTAACTATGTGGGAAATGAGATAAAGGGTAGCATGTTGAAATAAGACTCAGGAGACCTGAGTTTCCTGATTGGCAGAGACAATTCACTGCTAGATGGCAATAATAAAACCACTTCTTAAACATCTTTCATACCTTGAAGATACTATTAGAATTGTCATAAGTCGGAAGTGACTTGGCAGTACACAACACAACTACTTGGGTCTTCAAACTATAACTCTAATAAATGCATTGTTCATGGAAGAGTCTTTTGTAGGTGATTTCAGGAACCAGCTTTCACACAGGCTAACAATAACATCTAGCTTCTTTCCACCTCACAGTATCGGTTTTCTTCCTGTCTAGGAAGAACCATGAAGAGTTTCCTTCTTGTCACACCATTTCCTCTCCCTTTTTTGACAACTTCCTGCCTCCCTTCCTTTTATTTACAAGCCTGCCACTGCTTGTAATTACTTTCCAAAACCTGCCCAGTCTCTGCCCAGCCTTGTGTTTTCTTCATCCTCTCAGTCCCAGCTATAAGGAGCTCTGCTGTTACATCAAAAGGCTTTGGAAATAGGGAAGGACTCCTAAAACCCTCACAAAATGCACCATAGATCCTTATGAAAATGTATGCTGCATTCTGGAACCGTGAAGTAATCAGAGCCAGTCCTATCATTAGGCAAGGTTGAGACAGTTGCTTCAGGTGCTGTAGACAGACTTCAGGTATTTTGAAGCCGCCGCAAGCTGATAGGTAATGAATTCATTATTATTCCATGGTCCTTCTGGGGATGGGCAAGTGTGTTTATAGGATTTTTTGCTTCGTGTGCAATAGTAACATTTTTTTTCTTTCATAGTAATATTTGGGTGAGGCAGTGGGGTAGGGTCTTTGTTGCTCCAACTTAGCAGCAAAATATATCAGATAATGCATACATGTAAGAACCCCTGCATGCATGGCAGCTTCCTAGGAAAAGGACCGAGGGCTACAAACAGATGCATCTTATGATCCTATTTATTTATGTTTACTTCAGGTCAATCCTTTTATTCATATATTGAGGTATCTGTGCACATGATTGCAGTTTTACTTAAACACAGTTATATTGTTTGCTCCAAAATTCATCCTGAGCGATAGGATAGACATTTTGTGTAATTCTGTGTCCTGTACAGGCATGTGTGTTTTATGATCTAAGGAGGCTTTGTGCTAACCATACTAGTTCTTCTTAGTTCATGATAAGCCAATCATTCCAAACAAGGATGAAACAATGACATGACCTTTTGTTTCCAGAAACATTATCTTCATAGTATATACAACAGAATGTTTGGCAGACAGTAAGGTACATATTTGGATGAGGTATACTTGTTCCACTTCGCTGTCATCATTGCTACATAACCCAGGAGTAAACATTTGGGTCCTAGCATAAAGAACAGGCATGTAGTATACAGTACAACTATTTATTTATTTATTTGATTTATATCCTGCCCATCTGGGATATAATATGCACCTCTACATATTCTGATGACACCCTCTATATAATTTTTGTGTTTGTTTCAGTGCAGATCTCTATTGCAAACGTACATTTCTGGTGCTGCATTTCAAACAGTTCAATCATATTTTGCATCCCAAACTTTTGATTTGGGAGGCAAAAATGTTCACACACCCCATCACACAGGCAGCATGTAGTAGCATTGCCATGCTTCAGCATGGTATTCTAGCAACATGCTTTGACTTTCTTCCCAATATTTTGTTGTAAAGAAGTGCAGGAAGATAGGATTTTGATACCCATCAAATTGAACCTATTTCAGTCAAAAGTACACAAAATTCTTCTTAAGTATATCTAACATAATTTCAGAAGGCAATTGAAGGATGATGGAGATGATGAATAACACATATATTCATACTTGGGAGTAAGGCCCACTAAACTCACTAGGACTTATTTCTGAATAGAGATGCATTTAATTGACTTGTGAGACTGGTGCTCTATGCAAACTTATTAGGGAAGTAAACCAGTGAACAAAGTGCAACTTACCCCTAAGTCAACAAGCATATGACTGGATGGATGGCTACATCTTACGCTCACCTAACTGGGAGTCAGTTCTGCTGAACTCAGTGGGGTGTGGTTTCAAGTAAGGATACATAGGCTCAGATTACCCAACACAAATAAGAGCAAGATATAATGGATTTGGGGTTATATTGCACTAATCTGTGCTGATTATATGGTATGACATGTTCTTGAAGTTTCATGACAGAAACCAAACTGACATTTAAAAATTAATATTCCTAGACTATATTTTCTGTGTGTGTTGTTGTTTTTTAACTTCACAAGCAAGATCCATTTGGCCTGTGCGTTCTTAAGAAACATGCACTTATATGGATCATATCACAGGTCACACAAGCATGGTGCAAGCACGGCTAGGCTCAACAAGACCAAGGTGCAAGAATATCATAGCAAAGAGAAATACAAACAGCTAAAGCAAGTGTTGTTTGCGTTGTATCATAAGAGAAAGATAAAAACTTGTCAATAGTTACAAATGTTTACCTGGAGAATCCAACATTTGACAATCACAGTATTAGAGGCTATCATGTATGTCAGTTAACTTTAAATTTGGGCACAAAATTATCTCCCTTTCTCTCTCTTCTTCCAGGCTACATTCTTCCATGCAACATATACTCATGCACATGGCTAGAATGGAAAACTTTTATTCTTGTTGCCAGCTTCCTGAGGAGACATTTTTATTTAATTCATTGTGGCTTACTTTTGAGTAGATGTGCATGGGATTACCCTGTTAAACTGTCTACATTGGCATATAACTGGCAGTCAGTCTTGAAGAATCTTATCTGGTAACCAAAAGAAGCCGGAAAGATTCCGGAAAGATACTTTGTTCTCATAACGTTCTTCTCAAAAGAATTTTTTCCCTCATTTCTGAATTATTTTAATTAATTCTTTACAGCTGGTCAGACACCCCAAGGACACAGAACAATACAATCTTCATCATAATTATGTGTGTTAACGCATTTTAAGTCATAGGCTGTTACATAAAATAGATCTACTGTATAGTTTCTGTAGAAAATATATTATCTATTTGAATAGCATAATACAAAGTTCTAATGAAAAGGGATTCTTACCAATTGTTTGGGTGATGTCCTGAATGTGCTGCAGTCACATCAGAACTGTGGTGGATAAAATAGTCTGGGCTCTGGATCACGTATCATATTGAGGCATGTGGAACTGTCAGTTAAAATGCTGTCCTTCCATTTGCTGCTGAGTGAGCTATTTCAGATCTAGGTATTTTATATCAGTTTCCCATTTCATTATCAATTTGGAATTATTTTAATTGTGTTCTGTCTAGCAAGGCATCGTTTAAAGGCTTCTATTTAGTTATTAGTCTCTGCTAGAGTGAAACCACTGAATTAAGGGGACTTACATTAAGAGCTAACTTACCAAAGTCCCATCATTTCAGTGGGTCTACTCTAATTGGGACTAATAGTAGTCTTCAGGCCAAAAAGATTACAGAGCAATTCATCTGCTTTTCTGGCAATTGCTACATCGGTGATATCACAGTTTTACATTTTCGGAGCAGTAAGTGACAACAGCAACTAAAACAAACATATGTCTTTAATATTTAGAGGGTAATCCTATAGCTTGCTGCCTTGGACCAACTTCCAGTAAGCTTACTCTTGTGTAGACAGGAATGAATTCAATTCTCTCTGATATGCCATTCTGATTTTTTAATTTATTTTGGGCACCACTTGAGATGTGCAGTTTGAGAGCTAAACAAACAAATGTTTGGGGTCAGGATGTATCCGCCCTAACTCACAGGTGGATCCTAATTTAAGAGACTGTGCGTTTTTTTCATCCTTTGAAGTGAGCAGGTAGACTTCTCTTGCTTCTGGGTTATGTTATGTAATCTTCAGACCCTTTCTTGTATCTGAAAAATAGTACAGTATTCACCTGTTCAGAATGTCATGTGTTAATCACTCCTAGGGAAGATCATATCTATTTCAGCTGATAAGAATGGAACCTAAATACTTACATAATCCCTTTGTTAAAGCTTTGCAATTGTGTCCATGTGGATTTATAAGATGAAAACCAGACCAATATTTGCTTCTTGTATTTGTCTTTTGGGGGTATTTCATTCTGTTTTTCTCAACTCAGATAAGGGCTTTCAGTTCTTTCTTCAGATTCCAATAAGGAGAGGGGGGGCTGCATAAAATGGAAAGGAAAGGCTCCTTTTATACAAATGGCTCATTATCATGCTAGAACCGCTGTTTCACATTTTGACATTTGATTACCTTTGTCTTTTAAATGTATCCAGTTTATTCAGTGCAGCCCTTGATGGCGGTAATCCCATTTCCCACCCCCTTTGGCCCCAGTGGCAAGAGGAAAATACAATACATGTGATACAATGAGTTATATTTGGCTGCATGATACGACAGCACTTGAACCATTCTGTCTTAGGACATGCAAGAGCTCCTGGCATGTGAGGCAGCTGGACAGGTTGTTGCTTTCTCCAGCAAGAGATAATATCATGAGTTAACCCTTAAAGGTACTTTTGTCCATAAGGTGAAGACCCAGCACTGAAATAATGGAAGAATTATCAGGGTGCTTAAGGAAATCCACCCCTGACATGCAGCAGATTTATCCAAATCACATTCTCTAGGTAACTGGACAGCCAGGGCTGACCCTATAAGTAAAATAGAATGAAGCAGATATCTCAGATGGCAAATGGCATGGAGAGTGTTACAAGAGCAGCCTCTCAAATGTTCCCTGCCCCAAACATCCTAAGCTAGCCTGCAAGCCTCATGTGTGATGGAGGACACTGATTATAGTCATGTTGACTGCAAGTCTGGTCAAATTCTGCTTGTGGAGTGGAGAGGGTAGCACTGTTGTATACATAAGGCCACAACATGTCTTCAGAAAGCCCTGCAGACAACATTCTAAGTGATGCAGAGACATGATGTCCTGTTTTCCTGTTACAGTGCAGACAACTAAGAGAACCAGCTGGAGTATCATGGAATGGCTATGCTTCCCTGGATCTCCAGGCAGCATTCAGCATTCAGCACCAGAAGAGAAGATGATCTTATTCTTGTGCATGAAGTATGGAAGAATGGAAGGCCTCCTGGCTCAGCATAAAGGAATGTGTTTATGTGTGCAGGTGCTATTTAGCAGTATCCCCTTCCTTGAGATTTCAGGACATCACAGAGGCCAGGTAAATGATGGCAGGACAGAACAGCTCCTGGACCAGCTGACTGTGAAAACACCAAAAGAGAATGAGCACTGAATCCAAGTAAATCCTAGCTACACTGCAGGAGTAGAACTGGTCAAACCACCACATAATAGGACAACCCAGAGTCACCAACTGGGGTGGTGGTGGTGAGGGGTGCATTTTTGGGCAGTTATCCACCTAGCAAAATTGATTCATCAACTGCAATAGACACTGCAGTTCTCACTAGGATTCACATCCTGCACTGCCACAAGAAGGCTCGCGAGTTGCAATGCTCTGCCTTGCTCCTGATGGCATAGTGGGCCAAGTGCATATACAGTGGACCCTCGACTTACAGACTTTTCGAGTTACAGACTTCTCTGGCTGCAAAATTTAGATTCGACTTACAGCCGGAGAATCGACTTACAGACCAGAAAAAACCCAAAATGGAACAAAAATAGAATAAAACCCGCTGGTTATGGGATTAATTGGTTTTCAATGCATTGTAGGTCGATGGAGATTCCACTTACAGACTTTTCGACTTGCAGCCACCATTCCAATACGGATTAATTCCTTAAGTAGAGGGTCCACTGTACTATAAACCACCAGGTCTGTCCCCAGTCTCCAACTCTCACTTGTGAATTTTTGATGTACCAATGTTGTGCAAATGAAATAGACATAAAAACAGTTTTGTGCTCTGCTAGTGATCCTTGGCACTAGCTGGAAACAGGTGGAGATGGGTGCCAAGCTTACTGGGCCATGTATTCTGAAACCCTGTTGAATTTCACTGTGTTGTCTTCAGTTTAGTTTCTCTTGCTATCTACATCAATTTCTCTTCTTATATTTTGACATGTCAGCTATCCCTTCCAGGTTAAATCATCTGCAAATCTGGGGAAGGCTGCCATAACTACACTCAGGTATAATCTCCAACTTTGTCTCAGTTTATTTTCTTCATAGTAATAAAGGTGTAACCCCCCCCCTTTTGCATCATTGTGTCATGAATATATTCATCTAAAATATAGATTGTAGAGAAACTACAGACATGCAACTTTGTAAAAAAAAATACAATCCACTCTTTCTTGCATCGGTAGTAACTCTCACAGGAAGGGAAGTTCTGTTTCTTGTACAATATTTCCTGTGATAACACGACCAGTTCTGATGTTCTTAAGAACACATTGTTCTTGATCAAGCAAGCTTTGTTGGCTAAGACAATATTTGTCTGCATGTTTATCTTTGCGGTTTCATTGCTTTGAAAAGTTAAAAACAATTTACATCTGAGTCTTCAATTTTTTTTTGTTTTTTACAAATCAAACCAATTATTTTTGTTTTCTTTTTCAGCCCTCATCCTATTTTATGCAAGTAAGGCTTCCAGTGTCATCTTAACTCAAATAAAATGCTATATAAAAATTATTATATTGTTAAAAAAAAAAGAAGCAGGGGACGGACAAGGAGAGGAAACAGATGCATTCATAGATTAGAACATGAAAAGAAAACCTTGGTGAAATATTTCATGACCTTTAGTTGTATCTAAAATGTTGTATTTGAATGCCATCAGCCTAGATATAGCCAAGTCCCATCTTACACAGGGAAACCTCTCTGTATGTGTATGTGTTTTCTTCTTAGAGTCACATATAACAATAATACAAGACAAGGACAACATAAGGCAGTGATGGCGAACCTTTTTGAGCCCGAGTATGCAAACTGGAAAAAAAAGCAAACAACCCAGTGGGCGGCAGGCAGCCGTGGCAACAGAGGAAGCAGTGGCAGAAGCAGGAATCCCGGGCACGGAGGTGCCTCCAGACCCCACTCCGGATCCGCCTCCAGTCGTACCCAACCCCGCCACTACCTATAGCTCAGCCAGCCTCCTGCCACCACCACCAGCTGCTCCGGATTCTCGCCCACCGCCTGTTGCCTCCTTCTCAGGTCTGGCTGCCAGGGGTAGTGATCTAGTGACTTATGGCTCGCGTGCCCACAGAGAAGGCTCTGTGTGCCAGCTGTGGAACGCCTGCCATAGGTTTGCCATTGCTGACATAAGATATATTTGGTGTTTGAATCTTTATTCGAAAGTACAATGAGATGGTTGTTATAATATAGTGCAGAAATGGAGACTTCAAATGTTAATTTTTTCTGTATATAACCATCTTCCCTGAATCCTCACCCTCCACAGTATACATTTGTATATTAACCTGTGGCTAAATACTTCACTGTACGTAGTGTCATGTAGTGGACAGAGTGACAAATGACAGTTTGGGACACCTGGAAACTTGCTAGGGGAGTCAAACTGGTAAAACCACCCCTTAAATACCTTATTTATCTTGACATTTTCCTATTAGGGTCCCTGTACATCAGTCCCTACTTGATAGCAAACAACACACAATGCAAATATTTTACTCCATGTGTCCGAGGAAATGGAGTGCAATCCAGGAAAACCCATGCTGGAATAAAACTGTTAAAGTGCCACATTTTTTGTTTTTTTGTTATACAGACAACTGGCATTATATTATATTTTTTTATTTATTTATTAGATCTTTATACTGCCCATCTAGAACATGTCTACTCTGGGTGGTTTACATATAACATAAAAATAAATGGAGGTAAAATCCGAATTAATCACAAAGTCCATGATGGGAAAAGGAAAAAGAAGAAGAAAGAGAGAAAAAAAAGGAAAAGGAAGATAGACTAGGTAATGGCTGTAATAGATTTATGATCACACTAGAACTTCAGGCATACTCTCTTTTTTCTTTTCTTTCTTTCTTTCTTTCTTTCTTTCTTTCTTTCTTTCTTTCTTTTTCTTTCTTTTTTTGTGCAGAGCAGAAACTTTTGTTCCTTCTATGAAGTAGACATAGGTATTGAAATCAGGGGGACTTGATTACTTTAAACAATTGTTAAGACAAAAGAAGGGTAAAAGTGTAGTTTTGGATTTTCAGTTTTTTAATAACCAGAGCTTAAATTTAGGATTATACTAAGCTTAAATGTAATGAATACTTTAACAGTTACATTTAAGA